AAACTTTCCAGTTTTTAAAAATTCAGCTTTATCAATTATCGACATACTTTTGGGTCTCATTTTGAAAATATTACAACTTTTGTAGGTGATCCTGTGTGCTAACTTCTTAACCTGGATTTTTGTGAATCACGTACTTGTGTACAATCCTAAAATATTTCATTTCTGATTCCTGTGTTAAACACCATTTTCGAAACGAAATACAGATATTTCAAATGGTAGTTTAGTAAAGAAATATTGATAGAAATTTAATTTAACACGTACATTTTTAAGAAGTTGTTGAGTAAAGAGTTGATAGTCAGTGTAAAGATGGCTTATAACATAGCCATCTAACTTTATGTTTTTAACGTAAGATATAAATGCATCTTTAAGATGGATCTTAGGAGTATGAGTAGACCATTAGTAAAACTACAAACAAAAATAAAAACACTACATTACAGCCTTCTAACAAAAATATAAAATTATGTTCAAGCACCGTAAAATATTAAGAACAATTTCCTTTAAATTAACCTAAACTTCTGCTTAACGAGTACAGCTATCCAAATACACCGTTTTTATATTCCTATTGCTAAAGATAATAACGAATTGTTTCATATTTTCAATTGTTAATACTGTAAGTATAGGATGTAAGGAAAGAGGAAATTTCCATTTGTTTATTTTACAATATTACACCTGATGAAAATAAATTAAAACCTTGACATAAAAAGATCAATATCAAATTTGTATTCTAATAATAATTAGCACATTCTTTACAAGAACAAGTACTGATACTGGACCTGTAGAAACAAATACAAAAATTGAAAGAAAATTGTACAATATTACACTCGATGAAACAAATTAAGAGCTTAATATAAAAATCAAAATCACACATTTATTCTATTTCTAATTAGCATGTTCTTGACAAGAGGAAATACTGATACTGGACCTTTAGAAACACATGCAAAATTGAAAAAAAATATTACTTTCTGTGAGGTGAATTGTAATTTGTGGTCGAACGTAATATCTGTGTTATATAAACGTCTACATTTTCAATGCGAAAGAAAAGATAAATAAGATAGATAAACTAAAATAACAGCTGCTATCGTTAATAATACATCAAGAGCTACTGAACAGTTAAACACTTCAAATGAAAGAAAATTACAAAGACATCTTATAATTTGCATTTTTGAACACGGCTAAAATACATTGAATCAACAAGATATGATGTGTGTTTCTCTTGACTTTGAAAATTAAAGCCAAACAGGAATTATTAAATTTTCAACAAAAGATTCGTTTGAATCTGAGACATGCAAAATATGTAGTGTCCTTGACTGACCTCGTTTTTTGAAGCGTTGGACAGAGCGCAGGTAGCCCATTGTGTAACCTTGTGCTAAAATATAAAA